ATTGCACACGCTGATTAAAGCCTAGACTAGCCAGCAGCCGTGTCCTCCTCTCCTCACCAGCAGCTCAATCTCACAATATCACCATCAGACGTAACATAATGTAATGCGAGTGAAAGAAGTGAATGCACGCAGCTTTAAAACCACCAGTAACAGCGAAATGCACAGTTGACCCTGGAACGAAATGATTACCAGGAAAACAGACCGCCGTGCTATACTTGACAAAATCTGGTGTCGGAGCACCGTAACAGATGAAAACATAATTGGTGACAGCACACCCGCACATTGCCAACATGATTCATGTCTGCTCATAGGCCTTCTAAACACAAAGTGTGTAGGTTTATTATTAGTCACAGCAGATGGCTCGGCTCGACTATAAATAGTTTAGTGGTCGCTTGTATACTGTAGACTCAGCGCTCGAGATCTTATGATACAAAAGGGGCGAGATAAAGAGGGGCCCATGTGTGCGGACCCTAAACTGTTGCGGGCCCCAATGCAGCTGCATTACCTGCATATATGGTATTTATGCTGCTGCTCATTATTGCGTATAACTTTGACTTTTGCACATAACTTTTGCACGTATTTGGATTTTGTATATAATTGGATTTAGTTTACTTTGGGAGTTATACTATTACCCTGTAATATACATACTGCTATCTAGTAGGGGTGTGAACGTGTACATGTGTACACGTGTAACTGGTTAGTAAATCATAACCGTTTAGGAAAAATCAGTAAACGAAAAAAAACGAAACGAAAACCGAAAAAAAAAAAGAATCTAAATCTTCAATCAAAATTAACACGTACTATTTATTTAGAGATTAATAAAGCTACAAATGTTCCACTTTGACAACGTTAATGCGCTAAGAAATGCACGTGATAAATGTTGGGTAATTGACCACCGGGCATTACGTCATGTAACACTTAAGTTTCACTTTAGACTTGCGATGGCAGCTGACACGAAACAGCGAAGTGCGGCGTGGAGGTTTTTTGAAAAAAACGAGAAAGGAGACCAAGTGAAATGTACACTGTGTGGTGTACATTTGGTTTTTAAAAACAGCACAGGGTCGATGAACAATCACCTGCGCTGGAAACATCTGACAAGGTGGTCTGAAACGGAGGGGGGTGGGGCTAACGCCGGTGGCGGTGCTAGCGGTTCTGGGCCACGACAGACAACCATGCGGCATTTTGCAAGCAAGAAGTGTGAGAAGGGACGGAGCGACTCAATCATTTGAGTGGCGGCAGTGACGCGGAGGAATCTTTCTGAAAAGTGGCTGCACCCTCCATTGGTCGTATAGCGCGACTGCGGTCCACTTAAAAAAAAAAAAAAACGGTTAACCGTGTACACGAATAAAAAGGGGTCGTGTAACCGTTCACACCCCTACTATCTAGTATATTTAATATATATATATATATATATATATATATATATATTAGTGGTGGGCATAGATTAATTTGTTTAATCTAGATTAATCTCACTGTAATCTTGGAATTAATCTAAATTAATCTAGATTAAAATGGCTCATTTGAATTCTGTCGAAGGCATTCATAATATGTGTGTGCTACCTAAATAATGACTAAAAGTAAGTCTGCGCGATCGTAACCCACCCTGGACCTACAACCGAGCCGTTCCGCAGCGCAGTCATTCCGCTGCGTTTACCTTCCTTGGTGGAAATCCGGTATAGACCCAGCTCCCAACCCAACTTTGAGAATAGATTAACGGCGATCATTTTTTTATCGCGCGATAAGAGTCTCGCGTTATCGCAGCGCGTTAACGCCGATAACGGCCCACCACTAATATATATATATATATATATTGTATATATACAAAATAAATATATTATATATATTTATTTTGTCTAACATATTTGACCTTTTCTATTATATTATGCCCTAAATAGGTAGTTGCCGGTGACTTGAAATTAAAAACACCCACACGTACAAAGTTGAATGTTCTTTCTTTCTTCCCTTCTTTCTTTAATTCTTCCCTTCTTTCCTTCTTCCCTACCTTCCTGCTCTTTCGCTTTCTCTCACACATCCCCTAACTCTCACACATCCCCTAACTTCTATCTCCCTTGCGCTTTTCACGTTCTCTCTCTTTCATAAACACATGCACGCGCGCACACACACACACACACACACACATGCACACACACAGAAATTGTGTCAAACCTTTTCGTTTGTATCCATTGAATATAAATCTAACCGACCTACCTGCCAGCTGCGGAGGAAGTGTGCTCTGCTTGCAGCTTGAGACCCGTGGGGTAACGGGGAGTCATTCCCTCCTTCGTTATCATTGGTTCCCAGGAGGCCAACGGATGTGCCTGCATAGAGATCCAGCCCAGTGCATGTCACATAGTAATACCGTAAAGTAATATATTGTAGGGTATTAAAGGAATTACTATGAAATCTTTCAGCAGACACTTATCCACAGCGACTTACAGTGGACTCAGGGACATGACATGAATGAGCATGTAGGGGTTAGGCTTCTTGCTCAAGGATGCCTACAGGTAGACTGTGGACATGGGGATCGAACCCAGTACCTTTCGGCTGGGAGCCAAACACCCTAACCACTTCCATTAGATTAGTTGCATTCGGTGCAGATCAATAAGTACTCCTTGTTCTTCCTACCATGCAACCATCCATCAAGAGTGAGGCTGCACAGGTCAAGCGACAGATCACATGACACCGACACTCCGTTCTGATTGGACACCTCCACTGTGTGCGCGCTTCTCCGGACGGCCACTAGGGGCTCCCTGTCGGCGGTGGCAGCGGCGGGGCAGCTGGTCTTCACCTGCAACAGAAGGTCCGTCTTAGCGCGCTCCTTTCAAAGTCACAGATAAGGAGGAATCAAACCAGCAGCCTTGTAGTTGCCAGGCAACTGGTTCTGCCACTCAAAAGTACCACGGCCCCCCATCATCACTTCCATTCCTGTTAACTTTCCCATGGTTCTGTCACATGGACGATGATGCCAAATAGTAAAACAGAGCGAACCGCACCTGTCCGTCCGGATGGATGCTGAACGTGCTGTCGTTCATGGCCAGCAACAGGAAGTGATGCGACTGTGGGCGGGGACTCAGCAGCAGAGTGAATGCGGGGTTCTGGGAGCGGTCCTGAGCCAACACCAGCGGACACGACCCGGCGGGGAGCTGGTACAGGAGGCCATCGAACGACACCACAAATTGGTCCGCCACCAGCAGAGCTTGATCTGGTGCCGGATTAAGGTATGGACACAGGCGTGGAGAGGAAAAGAAGACAAGATAAGTAAAAGTGAAAGAAATAAAGGCAGACAGACAGGCAGACAGAAAGAGAGACAGACAGAGGAATACACAGAGTAATTGACAAATATAAAAGAGCAAATGGAGAATTACACTAATAATTAGAGAACATTTTCCATTGCCCTTCAACTGAGAATGGGTCATGGGATCACCAATTGTAGTGAATAAATAACAAAATACAATACAAATTGGACAGTTTGTACATAGTGTCAAATGTGAACGCAGGCCTGGCCTTACATCGGAAGGGGCTGTCCATGACCCTGTGCTTCAGGCGGTACAACTCTGCGGCGGGTCTGATGGAGGTGAGGGCCTTCAGGGGCCCAAGGAGCCACTCCTCCAGAAGGATCTCCACCAGGCCGGCCTCCGCCACGCGGGGCCAGGGGACCCGCGGCAGGGGCACCGCCACGGACACGGAGCAATCACTGCCGGACAAAACACACAAACCGCATGAGGTGTTGTCTGTGGAAAAACCGCCAAGATGTTGTTTCTGGGGGAGGAGGGAGGGTGAAAGCCACGACTCGACCTCCAGTCCTTTCAAGGTCTCCACTTGGACAGCTGGGGGGTTGAAACATGAAAAGGCTCTTCCTTGACTGAAAACCTTCTTAAGGCACTCTGCTAATGCCTGACACACACTAGACGATTTTTCTAATTTAGAAAATGTGAAAGACCACACACCCAAAGTGGTAATTATCCTGTAGTGTGTACCCAGCATAAGCCATCCTTCTAAAGCCTTCTAAATGTAATGTTCATCTCTTAAGCCTTTCGGAGGCACACACCTTTCCATAATCCTTTGGGACCCCTTGGCCTCCTTTCTGCTGAAAGGAAGGTTGTTTTTCATTTTGTGTGGTGGAGACGAGGACTACCTGGGGGAGAGTTGATAGACAGAGGCTAGACGCGTCCTGACGCCAGACAAAGCTGCCGTCAACTTGGATTCAACCCAGAGGAACGTCTGCTGTCCTGCCTAATAGAGATGCACAAACACACACACACACACACATATGCATAAGTGAGCACACAGCCACACACACACACATCCCATAGGAGACCAGAGCAGCAGCTCTCTCACCACATCCAGGGCCGTGCCCAGGGCAGCCAGGCTGGCCTGGGCCAGCGGCCGGAGCTGGGGGTTCTCCAGCATGGGGGGCAGCACCTCCCTTAGCCTGGCTGCCCACCCGGACACCGCCCTCCGCCACAGAACCTCCACCCTCTGCCCGGTCAGGTCATGGTACACGCCCGCAGCCGTGGACAGTGGCCCTTTAAAACGTCCGGTAGACAGAAGAGATGCCAGTTTTAGACATTTGCACTGTTCTGGGTGTAATTTAATGTTCCAGTGCGGCTAATCAGTTACACTCATGGATTTTTCAAAGGGATATAAGATAAGATCCCAGACCGGAAATTATACAAGGGAGAGACAAAATGAAAAAGAGGATGAAGCAGAAGAAACATAAAAGTGAAAGCGGTTCACAAAGCCTTTTAGTGAAAAGACGAGTGTTCAATTTCGAAGAAGAAGACGCTGCGTGCTGCCGGTGTCAAAACAATGGCTGCCTGCACCATTTGTCCTTTCGGCAGATGAGCAGATTATGTCAAACACTGTGAAAGTTGAACAAAAAAGACACATCTTGCATCACTCCCCCCCCCCCCCCCCCCCCTGGTGTACGTTCTTTCACTGAGAAGACCAAAACCATGTGGGACCACAAAACATCATCTTCATCAAAGGATCGCATACATGGAGGCTAGTCTAGTGGTTAGGGCCTTTCACTCCCGGCCAAAAGGTTGTGGGTTCGAAACCCAATGTCCTCCTCAGCCTACCTTTAGGCATCCTTATTGAGCAAGATGCCCAAGCCCTGACCTACTCATTAATGACATGTATTTAGCTACTGTTTAGTTATTTCGCCAACACATTTATCAAAAGCGACTGCCAGTGAAGTGAGCTGGTGTCATAATGCCATACAGTGAGATACGGGTAACTAAGGAGTACGTTGGGAGTCTGGGCATCTTGCTCAAGGATTCCTAACGGTAGGCTGAGGACATTGGGGTTCGAACCCAGAACTTGAGTTAAGTTGAACACCTGAACCACTACTAGACTATCCTGCCTAAACTAACAACAACAAAGATTGTCAAAAAATCATCACTCGTCTGGACACTCACGTCTGAGCTCCTGTTGTCCCAGGGCCGAGGCATGCTGCAGCAGAGCCAGGCATCGGGGGACGCTGTCGGTGAGGAGGGCCCTCAGGGGCCCGCTCTGCCAACGCGCCCACAACCCGCCGTCCTTCGGCGAGAGGAAGGACTCGGCCCGCGAGGTGAGGTTCACGAGCAAGGCGCTCATCTCCTGGAGTAAGCCTCTCTCGAGGGACTTTGAAGCAAAGACAGTTTAACAGCTACGGTCTTGACAGAATATTAACGCATTTTAAAATGCGTTAATATTCGCATATATAAACCAAAAATGCATTTTACTGCGCTTATGGACTAATAACGTTGCAAAGATATCCTTCCATAAAAACGACATGGAACAGGAATTACAGTAAATGTTATCTTGTCAGCTCCCTCTAAAAAGGTTTTTGGATGATGTCACTAAGTCTGAGTGCTGTGGGGGTTTTCATGATACTGATGAAACATGCCAACAGCCAAAGACCCATCCATCTTTTCCCTAGGTGTGGCCTGCCCCTGCCCCTGAAAAAAAGTTTCAAAAAAAGTATTATTATTATAATTACCTGTTGTCTGGACTGCATGAGAAGATGCTGAATGGTCTTTATTTTCTTTAATATCTTGGAGCTCATCTCTGAGCTCAGGTGCACAAGTGTGGCCTGTAGAAATGTGACAACATGGCATTTAACAGAAAGGCATTCAAAATGTTACTTGTTCAATAGCACATTTTTGAGAACCACCTGTACCTCTGTTGCGAGTAGCCTTTCAAAGCAGCCTTGGGCTTTGAGAAATACATTTTGATTGGCAGTTCCCACAGAGACAGTGACAAGGCCTTCGGGGCTAGAGGAGCCCGCTTGTCTCTGCAAGTCCAGGGTCAGCTTGCTTCTTGTTTCCAGACACACCGCTAGGCTTAGCTCTTCATCTGGCTCATGAACTACCAACACACACACACACACACACACACACATGCAGATACACACATACAAACACATTTATTTTTACAACCATGAAACATAGGATAACTTCCTATAACATATTCAACAGGCCATAACTACCGGCTCTATAACCAGCTGCTGTGCGGAGACATCTGTTCTGTATGGAGCCTCCCAGCCAGAGGGTCTCGTTGCGGTCCAGCGTGGCCTGAACATGGAGCTCCGGCCCCTGGGTGGAGGACAGGGCTCGGCCCCCCACCTCCACGCTCCAGTTCCCCACCTTAGACTGTGGAGCGGGCAGACAGGCAGTGTGCATGGTCACAACGACGCACAGCAAATATACATGAACAGAATGATGTCATCGGTCTATGCCGTTATCTTCTTTCATCTTCCATTCTCCTCTACTCTACTGGATTCTATCGCTTTTCTTTGTCATATTCTGTTATTTCATCTTCAGTTATATTCTCTTCTCCTCTCCATATCTTCTACTCTATCTTCGATACTACTTTATTCAGCTCGTTTATGTTGCCATCTACTCTTCTCTACTATCCCGGTGGCACAGTGGTCAGCACTGGCGCCTCACAGCAAGAACGTTGTATGTTGAATGTCTGTATGTTTGTAAGTTCCCCCCCGTGTTACATGTACATTTACATTTAGGGCATTTAGCAGACGCTTTTGTCCAAAGCGACTAAGTACAATAAGTACATTTGTCAGAAGAAGTGAAACAACAATAGATCGCTGTCGGTACAGTAAGGATGTCAATAGAACAAGTTTCAGGCGCTCATAATTGCTAGGTTAACCCATTCCTCGTAGACAACAAAGATAGCTAGGGTAAGATGCTACACGATGCTCAGTACTATTTTTAAGTGCCAGGACGTACGAACATGGGTTAAATGCAGGGATCACATTTTGTTGTACTTGTGCAATGACAATAAAGTTGATTCTTCTATCTTCTCTATTCGACGACTGTATTCTATGTTTCTGCCCTCTTGTATTCTGCCATCTCCTACTCTTCCCCACTCTCTCTCCTGTGTTACCTCAGCAGAGAGGGACATGTTGGAGAGGCGGGCGGTGGAGGAGTTGCGTATGGCCAGGGTGAGGCTGCAGTGGTGCGGTCGCCCCCCCACCGAGAGACGGCTGTGGGAGTAGAGCAGCTCCTGCCCAGAGTTCACCTTGTGGGAGCCCGACCACGACAGGTTCTGATGGTGGGGGGGCATGCACACACACACACACACATACATGTAAACACACACACACATGTAAACACACACACACACACACATGTAAAATTTAGACACACCAACACACATGGAAGCACCACACACACACACACACATACACACACACACGCACGCCCGCATTCATGCGCGCACGCACGCACACCAAAATTACAAATGGGCATCAACACACACCAACACAAACAACACGTGCATGTGTGTATTCTCACACAGATGTACACCAAAACACACAGCGGCTTATACACACATGCACGCAACCACACACCAACACATGCCAACACACAAACGCAACCGCACACACACACAAACTATTTTTCGCTGTTCTCGGCCCAAATTCCAATTTCAATTTAACTTCCAAAAAAGAAAATTCAATTGATGAAAAACATGCATATTGTTCATGCTTTTGAATCAACTTAGCCCTTCAACCGAGTCCACTGAAACCCAAAGCATGTGTGAGGACAGACACCAAATAGTTAGAATGTTGTTGAATTTCTGCATCCAAAATAGACTTGAGTCCTATTTGAAGTATACAACCCAACCGCTACATTCTCGCTCTGTGTGCTCTGCTCCGTTTAAAGACCAATATGATTGTAGTTGTTGTGTGTGTCAGGCTATATATATATATATATATATATGAGGCTAAATGTGCGCTCCATAGGGCTTAACATGCTTAACATGGCAATGGAAATGTTACAACTTGTTGTTTATGTAGATATCTAATAAATCTATACGCTTACAATAAACACAAAATATGATAATAGTGTGTGTGTGTGTGTGTGTGTGTGTGTGTGTGTGTGTGTGTGTGTGTGTGTGTGTGTGTGAGTGAGTGAGTGAGTGCATGCATGCGTGTGTGTGTGTTGACTCACTGGCTGGGGGGGGCACAGAGCCAGCACTATTGTGTGCTCCAGGCCGTCCTTCAGGTTGGTCTGGACTTTGGAGACAAGGGAGTGAGACGAACACGGAGGAGGAGACACGTTCTCCGCCCCGATGTTCATCTGCAGTGACCGCATCCCCCTCGGTCCTCGCTACACACACACACACACACACACACACACACACACAAACACACACATAAACATACAAAACAGACACACACATGATGAAATACCAGCAGCAATATCCTGAGGTCGTGTCCCACAGAGCTACCAAAACAATATTACTTGTGTATCTGGGAAAGTATTCGCATCAGCTGATACTATTCTTCTCCACTTTGTCAAATAATTCACTTACTCAGAAAATTATGCCAGAACAAAAAAGTTACATTGAAATCTAATAAAAGTGAATTGCTCTACATGCTCATTTTTTTTTGGTTTCTGGCCACAACTTCCTTCCTCCAACAGCCAAAAGCCTGCAATGGACTAACATGGTGATTCTAACATGGCACAATCCAATCAAATCCTCAACCCTTTTTTTTTTTAGCCTTCACCTTTTGTCCCTGGCTGCTTCCCTGTTTTATTTGGACATTGTGGATGGCCTGTCTGTGGCGTTTCGTACCTGGTACTTCATGCCCTGCTTGACGCTGCTGTTTCCCCACCTCAGCTCTGCACTCTGGGAGTACAGAGGTCCGTCCTGGGCCACGGAAATACAACCTTTCATCGGAGACAGCGTCTACACAAGCACGCACACACACACACAAACACACACACAAAAAGAAAAAAAACGCTAATTTGACGCTATACACACTCAATTCAATTTGAGCTTGAAATGGAAAGGTGGGTCTACCTGAGTGGAGAACAGGCCGCACGCCCGCCCTCGGTGGGAGTTGTTGTGCCACTGTTTGTTGAGCGTCAGCGAAGCGTTGATGAGCTCTGGGCTGGTCCATGACAGATGGCCCTGGGTGAGTGAAAAGAGAGGTAATAAGTAGCCTGGTCTTAGATTATTGACCCGTTTACTCAACGCAAACAATTTAAATACAAACACATCCTTTTCTAAGGCAAACCCTGCAGCAAATATTTGGGCTACGGTGCCGTCCAATCAACACTAAGAATGCAACAGATCATATATGAAATATCATGTCGTCGCTGTCGGGCGGGAACCTTGTATCTCCATTTTTTTTTCTTCTCATAAAGCAATGCTATTGGTCACCCTTTACATCTGTCTGTGGGTTTTTACAAATATTTAACCAATGAAAAGTATTAAAAAGAGCTTGTGACTAAATCTTGTAACTCAATCTGTCGGCAAAACCTCATAGCTCCACCCCGCCTTTATTTAGCCTCAATGCAAGGCTAAATAAAGAACTGGTTGTTTGAATAAGTACAGCGTTTTCTTTACTCAAGAAACACTAATCTAGTCTATAAAGGCTAATGTTTTATGTATTTGAAGCCTGAGACGTGAGAGCGGAGAAGAGTGCCGGCAAACCACGGTAGATTGGAGTGCAGTTTAGTCTAGCATTTGGCTTCTGTCTTCAAGAGCCTGTTTATAGCACTTAATCTTTTATAACAAGAGATTACTAACAGGAAAAACTGAGCTTTTTAACCAGTAAGTTGAT